CCTTCCCTCCCTCCTTACTAACAACACACACACACACACACACACACACACACACACCCCCCCTTTGGAAAGTATTTTATTTTTATCTTTTCCTCTTTTGCCCCTAGATAGTGCCGCTCCGTGGCCTCAGCTGCATGACACAGGAGTTGGTTAATTGACTGCTTGTGGTGTTTGGGCTGCAGGGTGAAAAAATACACCTCTACCTTAACATAACGCTGTCCTCGGGAGCCAAAAAAATCTTACCGTGTTATAGGTGAAATCATGTTATATTGAACTTGCTTTGATCCACCGGAGTGTGCAGCCCTGCCCCCCCGGAGCACTGCTTTACCACGTTATATCCGAATTCGTGTTATATCGGGTCGCGTTATACCGAGGTAGAGGTGTAGCAGTGTAGACATTCGTGCTTGGGCTGGAGTCCAGGCTCTGAAACTCAGCGAGTGGGGAGGGTCAACTGATCCAGGCTCTGAGACTCGGTGCTGTGGTTTTAATTCGCCATCTAGATATACCCAAATATGAGATACTACCTGGAAGTTGAGGCCCAATAGCTACAATCGTGATCAGCAGCAGCTGAAGAGACAATCTGATACCTGATTACACGCTCACTCCCCCTGCATTATGAGGAAAATCAAGACACTGGCAAATCTGGTGAGCCAGAAGGAAGTTAATGGGGGCGGAGGAATGAAGCCCACAGAAGGAGGGTTAATGTTGGAGTCAGCAGCCCCCCATTTATCCCTAAGAGTGAGGTAGGATTTGAGTGGAAGCTACTAGCAGAGCACTGAGGCCATGAGGGCAAGCTGGTGAGTGGAGAGAAGAACCATCTTTCAAGGAGTACACCAGGGAGGAAGAGATTGGGAATGTACCCTATCAAGTCATCTCTGACCAGCTCAGCTCCCTTCCTCTCTGTTCATTTCCCCTTCCTAGGTTTCACTGTAATTTCATTGCCTACTCAGCAATATCCATCCCCTCCCAGCTCCAGAATTGTTCTAGGAGCCACCCTACCCTGAAGTCTTTGTCTGCTCTGCTTCCCTCTAGCTAACCCTCAGTAATAACTCAACTAGCTGACGTAGCTGCAGCCCACACGTGCTCCCCATGCAGGAGTGAACCACAGGTGGCAAATTATCTTCCTTTAACCAATAATCAAACAAACCAAACAGGAGACGCTCTCCTGTCCACTTACCTTACTCCACTCATTCCGGTGGAGTACCGGAGTCGACTGGAGAGCACTCAGCGGTTGACTTAGCTCAGTGGTTCTCAAACTTTTGTACTGGTGACCCCTTTCACATAGCAAGACTCTGAGTGCAACCCCCTTTATAAATTAAAAATACTTTTTTATATATTTAACACCATTATAAATGCTGGAGGCAAAGTGGGGTTTGGGGTGGAGACTGACAGCTCGCGACCCCCCCCATGTAATAACCTCGTGACCCCCTGAGGGGTCCCGACCCCCAGTTTGAGAACCCCTGATTTAGCTGGTCTTTACTGGACCCACTAAATCGACCCCCACTGCATCAATCGCAGGAGCGTCAATCCCCGGTAAGTGTAGACATGGCCCTAGTATCTCACCCTCTAGAATGGATTGTTCGTCTGTTCTCTCAAGGGAAGTAGAGAAAGGTTGACATGGAACTTTCAGTCTACATACAGGTCTAGGGAAAAGAGACGTCTGCAATTTTCCTCCAGAGCAGTGCAACAGAAGTAGTTGTGGGCACGCGAGGGCCAAATTACCTGAGGGCGCATGCCACTATCACGGTGAGTAATGTACAATTAACTTTAAAACCTCAGTTAAAAAAGAAAATTATGGACACACAAATTGCAGCACATTTTCAGTGTCATTAGTCAAGTGCCGTCTTGGCCACATGAAAGCTACTCAAAAAATTAAACCAACAGAAAAGATTCTTTAAGAGAAAACAAGTCTTAGTGATAAAAGTGAATACATATGGACTTACAGGTTCTTGTGTTTCTGCTTCATCCCAGGCTCCCCAGCCATCATCTTCCCAGTTTGGTGATTTATCTACTTTAAACAAAAAGATTAAAAATCATGAAACTACTGCATAGACAAGGAAATAATTGACAGGTTTCAGAGTAGCAGCCGTATTAGTCTGTATCCGCAAAAAGAACAGGAGTAGTTGTGGCACCTTAGGCCTTGGCTACACTTACCCGGTAGTTCGGCGGCGAGCGATCGAACTTCTGGGTTCGACTTATCGCGTCTAGTCTGGACGCGATAAGTCGAACCCGGAAGTGCTCGCCGTCGACTGCGGTACTCCAGCTCGGCGAGAGGAGTACCGCGGAGTCGACGGGGGAGCCTGCCTGCGGAGTGTGGACCAAGGTAAGTTCGAACTAAGGTACACAACTTCAGCTACGTGAATAACGTAGCTGAAGTCGAA